TACCTTTTACTAATTTTTGTGCGGTTTTAGTATGAATTTTCGAACCCAGCCTTTACTGACACCATCAGACCAAGAGTGACCCTCACCCAAAATTTCAAATTTCTAGCTTTAGCCGTTTCAAATGGGCGTTGATAAATCAGACAGTCAGCCAATTACTTTACTCTTACTTATACAGGGTAAGAAGAAAAAATGCAATCAAAATCAGACTGCTGTCATTTCTAAGCCACTCGTCCGACAGCCGTTAAAATTGTTCCTGTAACAACTCATTATATTGTTTATTGCATTTTGGAAAGAATTTTCCAGAAAAATGGTTATTCGTGATGGAAATCAAGCGTGATAGTGTGATTTCTTTATATTTGGCTGAAAAACCACAAGTGGCTTTCGTTAGAGCACTCCAGCGTTTAAATGTGAATAAATCTTTTGTGTCTCGTAGCATCCATCGCTCGTTACCATGATACTGGTAGCGTAGCCCGACATCAAGGAAGTGGATGGAAGAAAACAACAACATCATCAGAAATAGTTCAAATGGATCAAGTCGCTTCTTTACTTTTCGATCCACGTCGCAGTGGCCGAAAAATGGTTCGTGAGCCGAACATTTCCCAATATTCCATTCGGCAAATGTAGAGAAATGAGCTCGGGGTAAAGCCATTAAAATTCCAAAAAAGTGCAAGAACTTACACCGCAACAGAAAGAAAATAGACTCAAAAGAGCTAAAGAGTTGCTTCGCTTGGCCGAAAGTGGTGAACTGCCGAATACCAATCAGTTGGACTGCCGGATATCAATCCGTTGGACTATTGTGTCTGGTATTTTGGAAAGCAAGGTTGTCACCAAAAAAATACCGAAGTTTCGATCACCTCAAGCAAGAGCTTCGCCAGGAATGGGCCAAAATACCGCCGAGCAACTTTCGGGCAGCGTGTGACTGTTTCATTAGCCGTTTGAAGGCCATAATTCGTGCCAAAGGTGACAAATTTGAACAAATCTAAACTTATTCTAAAATTTGATGCTATTTCCGACATATTTTGCTTTCATTCAATAAAATTTAAAAAAAAATGTAAAAATTATGGCGTTTGACTTTGTTCCATTTTTTTTCTATCAATCTGTAGATGCTCTGTTCCAGAAATGCAAGAATAAAAAACTCTTTACAACGATAAACGATTTTTCCAAATTGATATCGAGGAAAGTTGCAAAACGAATAGGTTCTTGCAGGTTCTGGAACAGAGCAATAGATTTATAATCTTTATTTATAACTATTTTTTTTTAATTTTTGGACGTTTGTTAAAATGATGCCAGAACGGGTCGACTGGTTTAGCCCATGAGTTATCTCATTATTGAAAAACGACTAGACATCCGTCACAAGGTTTGCTGGGCATAGACAATGTCAATCAGCGTTCTTGTTTTCTTGTCTCCTTCCATTTTGTTTTTGTTTCTTCTGCTGTATTATTTCATTAAATATGTTGTGGTCGTCATTAAACTATTTAAAATGAGGAAAAATAAGTGTGCGGTTTGTTCTGTGTGATATTTATTTAAACCAATGTTTTTTTTTTTTCCAGCCAACATATTTGTTATATGTACATACATACATATCTTCGTTTTATGTATGTCAGCTGTATATATGTTTATTATTTGTAGCATTTACTTTGAGTGAAATTATGTAGCCTATCTCTTTTTGGAGTACCATTCACATCAACACCTGCATGAGATGTAGATGTAGGACGTTGAGTAATTGCAATTTCAAAGGTGAATTTCTGCGTGATGTGAATGCAATTATAAAAAAAGTAAAAACCAAAGGTGGTAGAAGTGAGAAATCTAAGAAAAAAAATATTTTTAGAAATGTAGGACATTATTATCAAGAAAACGGGATCACAAATAAAGTTTGAGACACAATTAAAATATGATAGAGGTAATGGTGTCACTTAAAGGAAATGTCGGGTTGGACAATATCGTTAATTAAATTAATTGAAGTTTTTTTTATTTTCTTAAATGTTCTAATATCATTCTGTAGTTTATGTGTCATTTTCATATATGTAGACGCCCCCGCGAAACCCCTGAAGCTAGAATCTTCAAATGAAGCGCGAGGGTCAGTCTTGATGCGTAGGCATGTGATGTTAAACATCTAAAAATTTACCATACCCGGACAGAACTAAAAACTTGAAATTTGGTACGAGAATCAATGTTGACTAGTAAGTTTAATACATGAAGGTGGTGGTAGGTTTATTATAAAGACGTGGTTTTGGAACTCTGTACTACAAGTGCACTAAATGTACCATATTTAGTACAATTTGGTATTGGGTGACTAAATAGTGTCTGAATTTGATTACTTAAAAATAGCTTCCCATATTTGAATGAAAATAACTAAGTTGTACTAAATTGGGTATTGGTTGAAAATATTAGGATAAAATTCTGAAATTTGATATTTAGATGCATATTAATATCTGAGGTTGAGATTTGGAGGTGGGTTTGGAAATGCGTTCTATACTTGTACGAAAATTACTAAATGGTACTAAATTTGATATTGGGTGAAGGTAAATCCTCAAATTTGGTATCTGGAATTAAAATATGGAGGTGGTTTTGAAAATGTGTGAGTTGGCTCATCTTTTTCCTCGTCTTAATTTCTTTTATCAAACTTCCTTTTCTATACTCATCACCATAGCATGGAAGGTATATTAAGATTGTCATTCCGTTTGTAACACCTCGAAATATACATTTTAGAGCCCACAAAGTATAATTAGTCTTGATCAGCATAAAATTCTATGTCGATTTAGCAATGTCCGCCTGTCTGTCAGTCTGTGGAAATCACTCTAGCTTCCGAACGAAATGAAGTAGATTGATAAAATTTTACTCAAATGTGTATTATGTCTGCAGGACTTTTGGTATTGGAAATGGCCATGTAGGTCCACGTCTTCGTATAGCTCCCATATAATGGAACCTCCCTATATTCGGTACTTTGATGATTTTAACGACATAATTCACTGGAATTGTTTCAAATTTGGTATTTGAAGTTCGTAATGGATACTACAGCCTAAGACAGAAAATTGTCTGTGCAGGTCCACGTCTTCGTATAGCACCCATATAACGGTACCTCCCGATATTCGGTATTTTGATGATTTTAGCGTCATTATTCACCGGAGTAGTTTCAAATTACGTATTTAGAGTTCGTAATGGGAACTACAGTCTGTGACAGAAAATTGTCTATGCAGGTCCAGGTCTTCGTATAGGCCCCATATATCAGTACCTCCCTATATTCAGTATTTTGATGATTTTATCGACATAATTCACAGGAATTATTTCAAATTTGGTATTTTATGTTCGTAGTCAATACTACAGCCTATGACAGAAAAGTGTCTGTGCAGGTCTACGTTTTGGTATAGCTCCCATGGTAATATTGTAATAGCTTATGACAAAAGTTACCTATGCAAGTCCACGTCGTCGTATAGACCCTAATATAACGGCTACATTCGGTATTCTTAAGATTTTAACAAAACGGATTAACGGATTTAATTTTTTTTTTTTGAAAAGTACCAAATTCGTTCAAATGGTGGGGGCATTCCTCGTTTTTTACTTGTTTGAATTGCTATAATCTTCCAGGTCAAATCAAAATGTCAAAATCAAATGGGCCAAGAACCCAGATTTTTTAAGCTTAGTTTGGTAGCTCTTCAAACCATTTTTTCTGGACCATCTTTAGTGGATTTTTAAGAATATTTTGAATTTTTTTGGAATAGTTTATGATTTTTTTAATAAATTTTAAGACTATCTGTCCTGAACGAAAATCCTATATTTAATATTTGAAGGATTTCCTAATTTAAAATACTGAATTTTGTAGAACCTATTTTCAAGGAATCATGAATATTATGAGATTTCTTTGAAGGAATTTTAAGACTTTAAGAGGAACCGAAATTTTTAAATTTATTTCGAGATTAATATGGATCTTCTATCAAACTTCTGTTCTAATTTTGTAGAATATTTTTAATATCTTTTTTTTTTGAGAATATTTTGTAAAATGTTGTGATCAATTTTTTTATTATTTGGAAGGATCTCACCTTTTTAAGAGTATTTTAAAGAATCTCTTAACATAAAATCTTGAATATGTTCAAGATTATTTTGAAGGTTGTCCTAACCTAAAACTTTTGAAGAATATTGCCAAAATTTCCAAGGACTTTCAAAATTCAAAAAAAAAAATACATTTTATTTTTTCAAAAACTTCCTGGAAAAAATTCCTACATTTTATGAAAATGTCCAATATTCTACGATTTGGTGAAAATTTTAATTTCAATGCAGGACCAATGTGTACGCTCACAGCAATATTCCCCATCATCAAAAATTATTTGCCAATTAATTAGGGAATTTTAGACTTCAGAATATACAAATATAACGTCAATTTTCACTTTATAATAATTTAACAGACAAGACCTTAATCCAAAAAAAAAAAAAAAAACTAAGTTTTTCAAGAATACTTCTCAATATCGGAAACGGAAATCTGCACAATGCAATAATGACTTTTTAATTGTGTTTAATTACCCCCATAAAGAGAGAGAAAAGCGATATGAAATTAAGAATTCATAAACTTCAAAAGAAAAAAAAGGTACTTCAAATAGAAACGATAATCGAAAAACAATCGAAAATAAATCACAAGGCAATTAACTCGTTAAGTTAGTTATATACAATACACTTATGTACATATTTGAATTATAGTTAACGAGAATATAGCACAGAAATAAGTGGATAATGGGATAAGGAAATTGGGAAGAAGGGGAGAGTGTAATAATATATGTTCCAAGGAGTATCAGCTAACACTGTACATGGTATAAAATATTAGTAATTACTGTTGCCATTTTAGAAAAGGCAGACGCCTCTCTTTCTCGCTTAGTATTTCATGGCCACATTAGTTTTACCGTTATAGCTATCATTATTAGTCCTGTACATATTTGCTTTCGTTTGTTCGTTTTTTCTTTTGTTTTCTATATTATTAATATATAATGTATATAAATATAAACAATAGTTAATAATAGTGTTTATGTATAAGTATAAGTGTAATTATATTGTTTTTATATTATATATTCTCAACTAGGCGTATTTATGTATATAAATGTGTATATGCATGTATGTATATGTATGTCGACTCGAACTTACTGCTTGTGTCGCCTGCTCTGTGTGTGTGTGTGTGTGTAGACCTAATTACCATCTAATTATGATGTAATTTATTTAATGTCATGTCGCCACAACCGTTGCCTGTCGCCTACTCACATGTTGTAAACTATTGACCTGTTGTGCTGTCAACGCAACTGTCATCATGAAACTGGCCATTAGCGATGACATCATCATCAGGAGCAGCGTCAAACTTGAGCTATAGGTTGATGTTGTGGATCTTAGACTACTTGTGGCAGCACTGCTTTCTGGCCAAACAACTTCAACTTCAGCCATTTTAAAAATGCTTAAAAGTCGGTGGGATTGCAACTCGTGATGTTCGGAATTGATGTGATGACTTATTGTGCGCAGAACCGACGTGCACTCATCCTGAAAAAAAAAAAACATAAAAAAGATTTATTTAATAATAATAAAAAAATTAAAAAAAGTTGATTAGTACATAATTCTGTTCCTGTATGCAATAAACCTCTTGAGTCGGAACGAATTATAATAGGAAGCTAACATTTTTTCACAGATCAGTCGTTCGGTTCACGATATCCTATAGTTCCCATATAATTGTACCCCCAGATATTCTGTATTTTAATGATTATAGCTACATTTTTCAATGGATTTGTCTGGAAAACAATATGTGAAGTTCTTATAAGCTTCTTATTACTATGAAAAATGAAAAAAAAAATGTTTAAGTAGGCCCCATACAAAATTACCCTCAGATATTCGGATTTTCATAATTTTGGCTAGATTTTATACCCTACAGCACTATGTGTTGGGGGTATTGTGGGCCAAAAATTATGTAACACCTCGAAATATTGTTTTCCCACATAGGAAAGTATATATGGATCTTCCTATCTCGTCGAGCTGAGTCGATCTGTCCGTCCGTCGGTCTGTCCATGTTAATTTGGCCCGATCTTCACGAAATTTAGAATGGAGGTGGGGCTAGGGTCAGAATAGAACCCTATTTCTTTTGGAGATGATCGCATAATATTAAGGGTTGGAAATGTACAAAAAACAGAAAAAATTCCTGATTTTACAGTTGCTCTATCGCAATTATAGCCCAATCAAGGCGGAAGTTAGCATGGGGCTAGAGCTTAGGGCTGGGCAGAAGCCTTCCAATTTTGATGGTCATCGGGTAATATTTAGGGGTTGAAATAGGCCACAACATTTGTGCTAAATAAAAGTCAAATTTTCTATTAAACCGCGAATATTTTTAATCCCGTCGAAATCACAAATTGACGAACAGGTCAATTCTGACCGTTACGTAGATGTCGATAGTAAATATATTGGTTATATATAGCGAAATATATCCAATGTATGTATAGAAAGGAAGGTGATATTAGATAGAATGCTTATATTTCAAGAATGGCAAGACCGATTTCGACAAATTTTGTCAATTCAGAATGCCCTCTTAACATAAAAGTATAAAATCTAACAAAATCGCAAAAAAATATGCCAATAATGATGTTATTATATATTTTGTAGTATTTTGTGACATATTTTTATTTTTTCATATTTTTATCGCATGGGATTTTTTCAATTTGACTTATAATATTTTGCAATATTTTTTTCACCTTACAACACAGGTTGGGGATATTATATAAGTATTGCAAATATCGCATAAAGTTAGAGTTTAGGACAGCGGGTACAATGTACCACTAATTTTGTGTGAATAAATACCAGCATTACTTACAGGCTGATTTCGTTGACGAATATAGTCAAATATCGTAGATAAGCAAATCATATAGATGAGTCTAAATTTGGAGATACAGAGGGACTTCTTGCTTTTGGAGATGATTGCAAAATATTTAGGGATTCAAATTAACCAAAAACAGAAACGTTTTTTCGATTACACAATTGAAGCCAATCGACACGCCTGTGAAGAGAGTTAAGGACAGGGCAAATGTCCATAGTCAAAATCCTAATTTCAAAAGCGAAATCTTCCAATATGGATTTGGACATAAGGGGGCTTCTAACATATTGTAGTGTAGTAGGATATAACATAGTCGGCCCCGCACGACTATAGCCTTTGCTTACTTGTTTTATTTTTTATTTTTATCGCATGCGATTTTTATACCCTCCACCATGGGTAGGAGGGTATATTAACTTTGTCATTCCGTTTGTAACACCTCTAAATATTCGTCGTAGACCCCATAAAGTATATATATTCATAATCAGCATAAAATTCTAAGACGATTTAGCGATGTCCGTCTGTCTGTCTGTCTGTCCGTCTGTCTGTCTGTCTGTCTGTCCGTCTGTCTGTCTGTCTGTTGAAATCACGATAGAGCCCACATTATTTGACGTAGACCTTTGAAATTTGGCACAAGTGTGTGTATTGTCCCTAGGATGGTTGGTATTGAAAATGAGATATATCGGTCCACGTTCTGGTATAGTCCCCATATAACGGTACCTCCCGATATTCGGTATTTTGATGATTTATGCCACATTTTATCACGGATTTATCTGAAAATTGGTATTTGTAGGTCATGACGGGTCCCTGAGCGTGTGGAAAAACATTGCATGTATAGGTCCACGTTTTGGTATAGCCCCCATATAACGGTACCTACCGATATTCGGTATTTTGATGATTTATGCCACATTTTTTCACGGATTTGTCTGAAAATTGGTATTTGTAGGTCACAACGGGTCCCTGAGCGTGTGGCAAAACATTGCATGTATAGGTCCACGTTCTGGTATAGTCCCCATATAACGGTACCTCCCGATATTCGGTATTTTGATGATTTATGCCACATTTTTTCACTGATTTGTGTAAAAGTTGGTATTTGTGGGTCATAATGGGTCCTAGTTCGTGTGGCTAAACATTGTAATTATAGGTGCACGTGTTGGTGTAGCCCCTATATAACGGTACCTCCCGATATTCGGCATTTTAATGTTTTTTGCCACATTTCTTCTAATGTTCTTTTACCCTAGGGTGGAGGGTATTAAAAGTTTGGCCCGGCCGAACTTAATGCTTTTTTACTTGTTTCAATTTGACTTATAATCTTGAAGTATATATTTTGAAATATTTTTTCACCTTACAACACAGGTTGGGTTTAGTTTTATATACAGATTGCAATTATCGTCCGATCCTCACGAAAATGTTCATAAGGGTAGGGTTAGACTCAGAAGGGCTTGGGATTGAAATGGACCAACAACTAAAAATGTTCCTGATTTTCCAGCCGTTATAAAGGTCACAAATGTACACGAAATCTCGCATGAAGTGGAGTTAAGGACAGCGGGTAGTATGTACCACTACATTTGTGTGAAAAAATAAGAACATTTCTATTCTACCGAAACTCGGAATATAATTTACGAAATCCAAAAAACCCCAAAGGCGAACTTCTGGCTTTTCATGCTGATTTCGTTGACGAATATAGGCAAATATCGTAGACAAGCAAACAGTATAGATGAGTCTAAATTCGGAGATACAGAGTGACCTCTTGTTTTTGGAAATGATCGCAAAATATTTTGGGGTTCAAATGGGCCAAAAACAGAATAATTTTCTGATCACACAATTAAAACCAATCGTTCCGGAATTGTGTCTGCGAAGACAGTTAAGGACAGGGAAGAAGTCTAGCATTTTGGATGACCATTTGATTATATTTAGCTGTAAAGTGAGTAAGTATTGGGCAAATGTCCCTAGTCAAAAATCTGAGGGTAATATCTGGGCAGTGCTCTATGACTTATTTTAAAAAGTGAAAGCTTTCAAAATGGATTTGGACATGAGGGGCTTCTATCATATTGTATTGTTGTTGTGTCATAGCCTTTGCTTATTGGTTTCTTATAGAATTGTCTTTCCCTACCCGAAAAGGCCCAAAGATCAAGTACTCAAAATAGTTTTGGCTTTGAGGATAAACTTTTTGAAGGGTTTTTATAGCGTTCACCATATACAAAGGGCCACTGAATGTTGAGGTGTATTTCGCAACATTTTTTGTAGAGCTTTGAAAATTAAAAGAGAGCTTTAATGTGGTGTTATCGGTCCACTTTTTGGTATTTATGTATATAAAAGAGTTTTGAAAAAACTGATTGGCTGATCTAGAAAAACGCCCAGGCGAAATGGCTAAACCACAATCTTAAAATTTTGCACTAGGGTCGATCTTGATGCGCAGGCGTGTAATTTGTTAAAGACTAATAGAGTGCAGGGTAGGTGAACAAAAGGGTTTTTGAAAATTTGAACTTAAAACATACGAAATGTTCTAGAATGGTACTAAAATTCTAAAATAGTACCCTTTGGTATTATGTGAACAGACAGAGCTAAAAACTTGAAATTTGGTATTAGCATCAAGGTTCCATTATGAAGACGGTTTGGAAATATGTACTTAGTGTGCGAACTGTACTGAAACGGTTTGGTTTTGGGGAAGAGGATGAAGCTGGATTTTTGAAATATTGTATTAGGGTCCCTGTTGGTGGTTGGTTGTTTAAATGGGTACTACAAATGGGTAGGAAAAATTACTAAATAGCACAATATTTGGAACAACTTAATTTTGGGTGAACAGAAAGTGATTGAAATCTGAAATTTTGTGTTTGGGTCGCTGTTCATGGTTAGCCTGGACACATGGATATGATTTCGGAAATGTGTGCTATAATCGTACGAAAATTACTAAATAGTACTAAATTTGGTATTAGGCGAATGAATAGATTTGATATCCTGAATTCTGGAGGACGTGGTATTGGAAAGTTGTACTACAACTGTACGAAAAATACAAAAATTGTACTAAATTTGGTATTGGGCGAAGGGATAGAGCTGGAATCCCGAAATTATACCCTACACCACATAGTGGTAAGGGTATTATGTCTTTGTGCATTTGTTTGTAACATGGAGAAGGAAACGAGATAGACCCATAGTTACTTTTGAGAACCTTCATAGAATCACTTTCTGAGTCGATTTATGCATGTCAGTCCAAATTACCTGAATTTTGGCACACCCAACCGAGATCGGCCTAGAAGCAAGTATATCAAATTTGGAGAAAATCGGTTCAAATATAGCTATAGCTCCCATATATATCTTTCATCCGATTTGATTTTTAAGTCCCTCACATTCCTACTATGCACTCCACAACCGTGATATTTGATACCAGGTATTAGATGGAGCACAGAAATAGCTGTTTTAAATTTTATCGAAATCGGTTCAGATTTGGATATAGCTTCCATATATATCTTCATCCGATTTCGGGTTAATTGGCCACCAAATGGCCAATATCAGCCCAAATAGTCCGAATTTTGGCACATGTGACCGAGATTAGCCTTAAAGCAAATACAACAAATTTGGAGAAAATCGGTTCAGAAACAGCTATAGCTCCCATATATATGTTTTATCCGATTTGGTGTTTAAGCCTCTCACATTCGTAATATGCACTCCACAAGAATGATATTTGGTACCAGATAAAAGATACAGCCCAGAAATAGCTGCTTGTAATTTTATCGAAATCGGTTCAGATTTGGATATAGCTCCCATACATATCTTCATCCGATTTCGGGTTAATTGTGCACCAAATGGCCGATATAAATCCAAATGGACTGAATTTTAGTACATCGGACCAAATTCAGCCTAGAAGCAAGTATATCAAATTTAGTGAAAATCGGTTCAGATATAGATATAGCAACCATATATATGTTTCATCCGATTTGGTGTTTTAGTCCCTTACATTCGTAATATTCACTCCACAACCGTGATATTTGGTACCAGGTATTAGATGAAGCACAGGAATAGCTGTTTTTAAAATTTTACCGAAATCGGTTCAGATTTGGATATAGCTCCCATATATATCTTCATCCGATTTCGTGTTAATTGTGCATCAAATGGCTTATATCAGCTCAAATGGCATGCATTTTCGTACATAAGACCGAATTCAGTGAAGAAGCTAATACGTCAAATTTGGAGAAACCCGGTTCAGAGATAGCTATAGTTCGTAAAATGCTGAATTAGATAGATTTTGATTTTGTACCAAATATCTCATAGAGCTTTGAAATGCCCTTTATAAACCTTTTTACGAGAGCTCTACTAAATATGCATAGTGGTGTAGGGTATCATATAGTCGGCCCCGCCCGACTTTTGAGCTTTCATTACTGGTTTTATATTGAGGTCTCTTTTGGTAGCTGGTACTGAGATGTTGCCTTGGAAATACGTATTATAGTTGTTAAATGGTACTGATTTAGGTATCTAGGATGGAGATGTAGATTGTTTTGGATATGCGTACAAAGGGTCCCTCAATAGTACATTTCAATATTATTTTTTAGGGTAGCTATCCAATCAATTCCAATTTTATTCTTGGACTTTCAATAACCAATATTTTGGTTTCAGCCTCCATGAAATATCCAGATTTTTAATTAAGGGTTAGGTTAGGTTTGTAAGTTAGATTAGGTTGAAAAAAGAGTGAAAAAAATTGCCGCATGTCCTGGTGGACATACACTCAAGCCAGTATAGGCCTGTTTGGTGTTCTAGACAAAACGCTATTGACAGAAGACGGGCAGTCTACAGTCTAATATAATACTAATCCAGTTGCCTTATCAAAATTCCTTAAATATCCCGATTTTTCTTCTCTTTTTTCATATCTTAGAGATTAAATATATTGACCCCCCCCCCCCTATTATTCCATTTTATTTTGATCATTCTAAAAAGAAATGTCCCAAAAAAATGCTTACCTTTTCCTTTTTTAGCAATTCCATTGGTTTCAATTTTGCATCATGTGGCAAACGGGCAGCTATTATAATATTTTCCTCGGTCATGTTGAACAGCGTTAGAGTGCACTGAGTCTGCATTTATTGCAAAGTAAACGAAAAAGAGCGAAAAGCAAAATAAGATTAAATTCACACATTTTTTACAGACATCAAATATCTTTGCATTAATTAAAATAAGCAAATAATTGATTATCTTTTTTCTTTCCGGGGCGAATTTTCCCCATCTTTTTTACCCCCCTTCAAGTAAGACATTAATCATCAAAACTCATAACTCACCTGATTATCAATGTATGAGCTAACATATTGCTGAAGAGCTCTGACAGCATCCTGGACACCCAAATTGGTGTGGGGTCGCAGCAGAGCTTCATCGGTGGCACTATAGCCCAACATAAGGAATACACCACCTGCGGAAAACGGAAAAACAGAGAAAAATAATCAGAAAACGAAATTCAGGCTACCACAATATGTCCCCTTGATACCCCCACATTCCCCTCAAAATCCGCTTAACCATTGTAAATATGACAGGTGTGTCTCATGATGATGCTTTTCAAAACACGCACACTTGGCAGGGTCATTATAAGGAAATAGCTAAACTACCAACTCTCCTTTACCTCAAAGTGCTTCGATAATAGCAAAAAGGAAATGAAAAACTTAGAATAGAACTTAAATCTAGAAACCTTGTATAGCAACACTCAAGCGGAATACCATCATTATGACCACGTCGTCGTCGTCGTGCTCACTGAAGGACATACCAACCACCCAGGTAGCCAAGCATCAGAGTCTCAAGTTGAAACTATAAACCGTCAGATATTGTTAACTACACTCTTCCACCATCTATTCTATTTAATCATCATTCATCATAAAATAAAATCATTATCCCATAGCTGCAACCTAATCCATAAGAAACGTGTCTTCTCAACCTCAATGCCAGCCCCGGGTATGAGGAGCATATGACAATTGTGGTAAATAGTGCGATAAACAAATCTCAAGCACAAACAGTAGTTTCATCGAAACCAACATTGTTATCGTCTCAACAAGAATGGGGCATACCGCCAACACCCTCATATCACACAATACGGGTATGCTGTCATACTCCACACACACACAAAATATGGTAACCGTTCTTTCTTGCTAAGGAGATAACAACTAACTATCGTGAGAACAAAAAACTGATAGCGGAAAAAATTAGATTTTCTTAAAAAGAAAATTTATGAAAGAACAGTGAAAGGAATGGATTTTTTTTTTTTTTTGAGTGGAAAGCGGTGGGAGAATATACATAACTATGGCAATACACATAAACATAGAAATGTCTGGAGTTTAAATTTTGGCCTTTCTTTTGGCGGAGATACGAGAAGCAGTGGACCAATATTTTCTATGTTAGATCCATATACAAAGGTTATAATTTATCAAGTTTGGAATACATCGAGGAACAACTCTAATTTAGTAAAAACTCTCAGTTTTTTTTTCGGATTTTTGTTCCCGGAAAGTATTTTTTCTTGGGTACAGATGCGGATGCCCGGATATTTTACCCGAATATCCGGATCCAAGACCCATATTACCCCGGACCTACTAAACCGACATGCGGTAATTATGCGGTTATTTAAAATGGTTCTGGAGTTGTATAAAAATTATTGATTTTTTGGACCCGAATTTTCTAAAAAATCCCACAAAAGTTGAAAAGGGCTCCATTTTGCTCCGGAAGTTGTATATATATATATATATTTTTTTTTTGACCTGGATTTTCTGAAAAATTCCCCAAAAATTTAAAAAGATTCCATTTTGCGAGGCGACAAAATGTATACCAAATTTTTGTTGACAACATAACCTTTCCAAACTGCTGCAATATGTGTTTTTTTCTGTCTTAGGTCCAGAGATATGGATCTTTAAACCCGGAAGGACGAATTATATTCAGTGAAAATCCCAAAATGGTCTCTTTTTTTAAACTTTTGGAAGATTTTTTAAACATTCCGAGTTCAATAAACAATAATTTTGATACAACTCCCGAACTTAAATAACCACATATCGGCTTAGTAGGTCTAACTCGAGTCTAGGATCCGGATATTCGAATAAAATATCCGGCTATACTGGCTCGTCCTTCAGGAAAAAATATTTTTCCGGAATCAGAATGAAAATTCTTACTTCTGGAAAATAAAAAAGTGACCACTTATTGGATAGGTATTTTCATTAGCATTCAAACGATACATAAACAGGGTGAGATGAAAAAACTGCAACCAACTTTGACATCTGTTATTTCTAAACCAATTGTCCGACCGCTTTTAAAATCATTCAAGTGACAGCTCAAAGCATTTTGGTGAGTATTTTCCAGAAAAAAAAGTTTTTTGTGATGGAATTGAAGGGTGATAGTGTGATTTTTTTATACTTGGCTGGATAACCACAAGTGGCTATCGTTAGAGTACATCAGCATTTAAATGTGAATAAATCTTTTGTGTCTCGTACCATCGCTCGTTACCGTGATACTGGTAGGGTAGCCCGACGTCAAGGAAGTGGACGAAAGAAAACAGCAACATCAGCAAATATGTTCGAAAAGTAAAGAAGCGACTTGATCGACACCCCCGTCGCAGTGGCCGAAAAATGGCTCGTGAGCTGAACACATCGCAATATTCCATTCGGCAAATATTGAAAAATGAGCTCAGGGTAAAGCCATTGTAATTCCAAAAAGTGCAAGAACTTACACCGCAGCAGAAAGAAAATAGACTCAAAAGAGCTAAAAAGTTGCTTCGCTTCGCCGAAAAATGTGAACTGCCGAATTTGGTTTTCTCCGATGAGAAAACATACGTTGCCCAGCAGTTTGTAAACAAACAAACTGATCGTGTTTACTTGCCGAAGAGGTCAGCTGAAAATGTGCACCTTCGGTTGACCACCAGAACTTAAGCGCCGGCCATGGTGATGGTGTGGGCCGCCATAACAGCCTATGGTCACTCTCCGCTTGTATTAATCGACTGTGGCATCAGAATAAATGGCATCAGAATAAATGATGAATATTATCGCGAAAATATTCTGGAGGGTGTATTAAAGCCTTGGGCACGCAAACTTTTTGGCCGCAGACCTTGGACATTCCAACAGGACTCCGCACCATCGCACTCAGCACGCGCCACCCAAGAATGGTTACAAAATGAGGTTCCTCTCTTCATTTCCAGCGCACAATGACCACCAAAACTCCGGATACCAATCCGTTGGACTATCGTGTCTGGAGTATTTTGGAAAGCAAGGTTGGCACTAAAAAATACCAAAGGGTCGATCACCTCAAGCAAGCGCATCATCGGGAATGGACCAAAATATCGCAGAGCAACATTCGGGCAGCGTGTGACGATTATTGGCCGTTCGAAGGCCAAAGGTGACCAATTCAAAAAAATCTAAACTTATTCTAAAATTTTATGCTAATTCCGACATGTTTTGCTTTGATTCGATAAAATTAAAAAAAATATATGTAAAAATTATGGCGTTTGATTTGTTGCAGTTTTTTATCTCATCCTGTCTGTAACAGCCCAATTTAAATAGATTTTATTCGCATTGAAGCGATTTTTTTCATTTGGTGGAATTTGGTTCTGATATATTTTTTTAATAATAGTAAACATGCCTCCCACAAATTTGGTGAAAATCGATTTTGAATTATATATACCTGCATATATTAGTTCCCTCTGAAACTTAAACTGCTCTAAGGCCATGACAAGCATTCAAATAAGGTTCATAGTTGGTATGATCTACTTCACATTAATTCCCACTATAAACTTTTTTGTTACGTTGTTAAATATATATAGTGGTGTAGGGTATCATATAGTCGGCCCGCCCTACTTTTGACCTTTATTTGCTTGTTGTTGTAAGGTGGTATATGGTATCATATATTCGACTCCGCCCGACTTTTGCCCTTGCTTTACTCTAGCCAAATTTTCTTATTCTATCACACCCCACTGTGCACCATGACGTCTTAAATATCAACTGCCATTATTTATTATTAGAATCCATTGCACTTACCCGGTAATGAATAGTCACCCAACGGTGGTTTCATGCAGATAAAACTACCCGAATAACAAAGACAGCGACCACGAAAAGCTTGATATGCCGGTGATGCATGACTATAGAATGCCAATGCGGTGCGGCAGGGAGCAAATGGTACGCAGAGGGCATGACAGGTAAGTGTAAGTGATTCGCCACAGCTGCATAATTCACTGCACTCGGCATCGTCCAAAGAGTAAATCTGTTGAGTAATCATAAAAAGACAGGAAAATAAAAGGAAATACAAACAATGAAAACGGTAATATAAAGTGTAGGTGGATGTTAGTGAAAATATGGAATAAATTGTCAGACAAATGTTTTCGTTAAAAAAAAAAAGGAAATTGTTTCAAGATCTATGGAGATTAAATGTTAATTGAAAGACGGATGGAAAATAATTGACAGAAAATCTTTCACAGGTCATGTATGGACAAAAGACAATTTTTATACCCTCCACCATAGTATGGAGGGTATATTAAGTTTGTCATTCCGCTTGTAACACCTCGAAATGTAAATTTTAGACTCCACAAAGTATATATTCTTGATCAGCATAAAATTCTATGTCGCTTAAGCGATGTACGTCTGTCCACCTGTCCGTCTGTGGAAATCACTCTAGCTTCCGAACAAAATGAAGTAGATTGATAAAATTTTACTCAATGTATATTATGTCTGCAGGACTTTTGGTATTGAAAATGGGTGATATAGGTCCACGTTTTGGTATAGCTCCCATATAATGGTACCTCCTTTTTTCGGTATTTTGATTATAGCGATGCTATTCACCGGAAATGTTTCAAATTTGGCATTTGGAGTTCGCAATGGATACTACAGCCAATGACAGAAAATTGTCTGTGCAAGTCCACGTCTCCATATAGCCCCCCTATAATGGTTCCCCCCATTTTTCGGTACTTTGATGATTTTAGCGACATTACTCAAAGGAATTGCTTCAAATTTGATATTTATACCCTACACCACAAGGTGGTCAGGGTATTATGTCTTTGTGCATTTGTTTGTAACAGGCAAAAGGAAACGAGATAAACCCATAGTTTCTTTGATGATCTGCATAGAATCACATTCTGAGTCGATTTATGCATGTCCGTCCGTCCGTCTGTCCATGTATTTTTGTAAACAAAGTACAGTTCGCATTTATTGCCCTATCCAGATGACATTTTGCACAAATTATTTGTTTGGCCCAAGGACGAACCCTATTGATATTGGAGATAATCGGTCAAAATTTAGGTACAGCTCCCACATATATCTTCGTCGAATTTGCCTTTTATTGTGCACCAAACGTGTAATATCAGTCCGAATAGTTTGGAATTTTGCACATACAACCAGTTTAGGCCTGAAAATAAGTATGCCAAATTTGATCGAAATCGCTTCAGATATAGCTATAGCTCCCATATATATTGTTCATCCGATTTGTTATTTTTGACCTCCGCAGCCGTAATATGCACTCTGTAACAACAATATTTGGGGAAATATATCAAATACAGCTCAGAAATACATTTGCTAAATTTTATCGAGATCGGTTCAGATTTGGATATAGCTCCCATATATAACTTCGTCCGATTTACCTTTGATTGTGCACCAAACGTCTAATATTTGGCCAAATTGGATGAAATTTGGCACTTACGACCGAATTGTGTCTAGAAGCTTGTATGTCAAATTTGGTGAAGATCGGTTCAGATATAGCTATAGCTCCCAGATATACTGTTCATCCGATTTGTTATATGTGTTACCCACAGCCGTAATATGCACTCTGTAACAACAATATTTGGGGAAATATAGCAAATACAGCTAAGAAATACGTTTGCTAAATTTTATCGAGATCGGTTCAGATTTGGATATAGCTCCCATATATAACTTCGTCCGATTTACCTTTGATTGTGCACCAAACGTCTAATATTTTCCCAAATTGGATGAAATTTGGCACTTACGACCGAATTGAGTCTAGAAGCTAGTATGTCAAATTTGGTGAAGATCGGTTCAGATATAGCTATAGCTCCCATATATACTGTTCATCCGATTTGTCATATTTGTTACTCACAACTGTAATATGCACTCCGTAACAACGATATTCAGGGAAATATATCAAATACAGCTCAGAAATATATTTGCCAAATTTTATCGAAATCGGTTCCGATTTGGATATAGCTCTTATATATAACTTCGTTCGATTTACCTTTTATTGTGCACCAAACGTCTAATATTTGCCCAAATGGGCACATACGACCGAAACTTGGCACATACGACCGAATTGAGTCTAGAAGGTAGTATGCCAAATTTGGTGAAGATCGGTTCAAATATAGCTATAGCTCCCATATATATTGTTTATCCGATTTGCTGTATTTTTTACCCACAGCTGTAATATGCACCCCGTAACAACAATATTCAGGGATATATATCAAATACAGCTCTGAAATATCTTTGCCAAATTTTATCGAGATCGATTCAGATTTGGATATAGCTCCCATATATATTTATCTGATTTCAAATTAATTTTGCACCAAATGAGCAATACAAGTCCGAATTTAAAAGATACAAATGCTTCGGCATATTTAGTCCTTTGAATTTTAAATTATAATTATAATCATAGGGTGTATGATTGAATTCTCCCATTAAAACTTTTAATTGTTATGTGGAGCTCAACTATATTAGCAAAGTGGTGTAGGGTATCATAAAATCGGCCCCGCCCGACTTAAAGACTTTCTTTACTGGTTTTTTAAAGAATTTTCAACGGATTTTATTTTTTGAAAATTGCCAAAATCATTCCAAATGGTGGAGGGTATTCAAAGATCGGCCCGGCCGAACTTACAGCTTTTATACTTGTTTTTGTCTTTTTTTTAAGAAACTTACCCTTTTACCGGTACCCTCTCGTATAAGTTGATCCGATTGTCGAGGCCTTTGTACCACACAGTGTCCTAAAATGGAAAATAAAAACATAATATTTATCACATGAAAATTCATCAACAACTCCGGAGCGCTTATGCTCAATGTGAATGATAGTCTGCAAAAATAAGAAAAAAAGGAAATTCAATTTTCAAATAAGGACACACATGAAAAACCATTAAAAATGATTCATTCGCAAGAAGTAAACTTCTCTGGTATAAAGAAGCAAAGAAAAAAGACTCTCCTTTACAATAAATCAAACGCGTCCACAATAAAAACGCAATTCCAAACAAACGCGTAACGAATGAAAATAATTTAGCAGCCAGAAGGACCCGACAATTATGCTCGACGACAAAACTAAACAACGACAAAGAGACAACTTTATGCTGACAATAATGTGAACATAACAAATAAACGTTTACTCGATTTAATATCCTACAAATACTCCGAGAGAACATCATCAGCAGTGGCACAAGGAACGCACATACTTGTCGCAAAAATTACCAGCCAAACACTCGACACTCATGCCAGCCAGATAGAAATGTGCTCTCGCATCCTTGTTCAAGTGGGCGTATGTATGTCGGCGGTTGTGTGTGTGCGTGCTCATGTACTACTCACATGAGTATAATAATAACAACAAAGGATCATCATTTAATGTAATTCTTCACAGTTTATTTGTTTTGTCCGTCTTCGTCCGTTCATTCGTTCGTTTGCTGTGATGTTATGCGTAAGCAAGTGCTGCGATGAGCACATCATACCCACACACACATCCACACGTAGTAGTACTACTATGGACACCATTGTTGTCATGGTGGTAGTAGTAGTTGTTGTTGTTGTTATTGTTATGAAATTGTTGAAATAATAAATGATTCAACAAGCGACACATTTACCAAAAGCAATTGCTTTTGCAGCAATGCCTTCATCCCAGATGATTTTTCGTGATAACACCGACCCGTACACGAACACACACACCTCCCTAATTTATTCTTTGACACTTAGAACGGCTCACTATCAGTTGTTCATATCACAACGATTCCGGAGATTACAGTGAAATAGTGTGGGTGTTTCCATGCAAAAATAATTATTTTCACAAAAGGTTTTTTTTATACTCTCAGCCATATGGCTACAGAGGGTATATATCATTTGATACGGTCAAAACGTGCCTAGTCGAAATAACGGTTTTAAACCCTAGGTCTCTTTAGACAAAATCCGTTTCCGTCTGTCCGTCCGTCTGTCTGTCTGTCTGGCTGGTGCGCACGATAAATCTCGAAGGGAGTAACCGATTTGGTCCAAACTCGGTACATCCTAATATTTTTGTCAAACTTAGATCGATTTTGGTCCACTCCTTCTGATACCTCCCCCACAAAAGGTGGACATTTTCAAAAAATTATGTTTTTTGCACAGACAATGAAAGGATAATCCGATTTTGATCCAACTTTGCACATCGTAATATTTGCGTCAGTACTGGGTCATCCCATCAAATTTTGAATAATTACAACTCTCATAAAATGTGATGTAAGAGTCCGATTGTCTTCAAATTTCAGACATCCCAATATTTATATTAACCCAAGGTCTGGTGTTAAGATCGGCAACATCGGTCCACTCCTTCTGGTACCTCCCCCACAAAAGGTCGAAATTTGCAAAAATTATATTTTTTTGCACAGACAATGAAAGGATAATCCGATTTTTCTCCAACTTTGCACATCGTAATATTTGCGTCAGTACTAGGTCAGGTGCGAAAACGGGCAATATCGGTCCATCCCATTAAGTACCTGCCCCACAAATGGTCAAAATTTTGAATAATTACAACTCTCATAAAATGTGATGTAAGAGTCCGATTGTCTTCAAATTTCACACATCCCAATATTTATATTAACCCAAGGTCTGGTGTTAAGATCGGCAACATCGGTCCACTCCTTCTGGTACCTCCCACACAAAAGCTCGAAATTTGCACGAAAGAGAAAGAATAATACGATTTTGCTCCCACTTTGCAAATCCTAATTTTTGCGTCAGGACTAGGTCAGGTGTGAAAATGGACAATATCGGTCCACTGCATACAGTACCTCCCCCACAAAAGGTCAAAATTGTGAATAATTATAACTCTCATAAAATGTGATGTAAGGGTTCGGTTGTCTTCAAATTTAACACATCCCAATATTTATACTAACCCAAGGTCAGGTGTTAAGATGGGCAGTATCGGTCCACTCCTTCTGGTACCCCCTCAAAAGGTCGAAATTTACAAAAAATATATTTTTTGTACAGAAAGAGAAGGGATGATCCGGTTTTGCTCCAACTTTGCAAATCCTAATTTTTGCGTCAGTACTAGGTCAGGTGTGAAAATGGATAATACCGGTCCACTGCATACAGTACCTCCCCCACAAAAGGTAAAAATTGTGAATAATTATAACTCTCATAAAATGTGATGTAAGGGTTCGGTTGTCTTCAAATTTAACACATCCCAATATTTATTCTTACCCAGGGTCCAAATCTCTTTAAATTTTACACATTCAAACATTTTTGTTAACACGAGATCGGTTGTGAGGATGCTATATACCTGCGAACCCCTTCTAGTACCTCACCCCCAAAAAGGGACACAATTTTCAATACTCTCTCATAAATTGCGAAACAACTCAGCGATTCTTTACAACTTGCTCTATCTAAATATATGTCTCTCAGCAAGAATCCTGAGATGAATATGGAACTTATGATTTGCCATAAATTGGGAATAAATGTTTCATTTTCTTATATATTTATATTAATATTTATATCATATTTATTTAGGTCCGATACGGAATGAACAATTTTGACCCATTCTTTAAAAATCCACTCTATAGAGGATCAAGAGGGCTGACGATGTACATCTGTCGGCAAAACCGACCGATACTTTTTTACTTTTTTTTTTTTTTGTAAATTGGACTTGAAATCATAAGATATGCAGATGTTCTAAGATAATATGGAATTTTTCGATTTCTGCCGATTTGATTTGATATGAGGCTAAAATCCAAAAATTTCTGTTGTATAAGGGTTATAACAAATTCTATGCCTACCCTGACATTTCTATAAGGTGTCAGATTTTCCCAAAAAAAAAATCCAAATTGATGAACTGTATTTCAGAATAAACAATCCTTACCAAATCCCTAGTTTTTGTAGTCACCAATATCTTAAACCCATATGGAATTTAATGTTAAATATATGAAGACTGACCTGTATTTTAGATAACTAATAAAGTTCCCAAAATGACTGAATTCGAATGGAACTTGAATGCAGACATTTGTTTTGCGGATCACTTCTTGTGGGAATGAGACGATAAAAGAAAATTATAACAAAATTGTACTGAAAATCTTTAAATTTGGAAAAGCTACAAACCTTATAATACATTATTTGTCATTCTGAAATATCAATTATACCCCCCACAAAATACATATCTTCTTAATCAGCATAAAATTCTATTTCGAATGTTAGATGTCTGATTTAGAGATGTCTAGCTTCCGAACGAAATTATATAAATTGATAAAATTTTACTAAGATGGGTTTCAGGTCTGCAGAACTTTTGGTATTGAAAATTAACTAAATAGGTCCAAGTTTTGGTATAGACCCCATATTTGAGGTCTATACCGCCAGATTTAAGGTTTTTTGTGCGTTTCTAACACAATATCAAACAGATTTTTTTAATTGAGAGTATGTGTTTCCCGAATGTTGGAAACATACTTGTACATATAATTCCAAGTTTTGGTATAGGCCCCAATAAATCGCACCTGCAGATATTAGGTATTTTCATTATTTGAATAACAATTTTCACGGGATATGTTTAAAAGTTGATATTAAGAGTTTGTAATGAATTGGTTCTATGACAGACAATTTTCTATACAGGTCCACATCTTCATCCCATATTACGATGCCTCCCAATATTCGGTATTCGGTATGGATGATATTTACCATTTTTTTCAACAAAATTATGTTAAACATGGTATTTGCAATTCATAATAGAATTAGACGGAAATCTAGAAATCGACATAGGTCTTAGTTGAGGGGTTCAAATATAAAGGGTGAGATGAAAAAACTGCAACCAACTTCAGACTGGTGTCATTTCTAAGCCACTCGTCCGACAGCTGTTTAAATTACAAGCGTACATAAGCATTTTGGTGAGAATTTTCCAGAAAAAAAAATTATTTGTGATGGAATTGATGCGCGAAAGTGTGATTTCTTTATATTTGGCTGGAAAACCACAAGTGGTTATCGTTAGAGCACTCCAGCATTTAAATGTGAATAAATCATTTGTGTCTCGTGCCGTCGCTCGTTACCGTGATACTGGTCGCGTAGCCCGACATCAAGGAAGTGGACGGAAGAAAACAGCAAAATCAGCAGAAATGGTTCGAAAAGTAAAGACGCGACTTGATCGAAACCCGCGTCACAGTGGCAGAAAAATGGCTCGTCAGCTGAACATATCGCAATATTCCATTCGGCAAATATTGAAAAATGAGCTTGGGGTAAAGCCATTGAAATTCCAAAAAGTGCAAGAACTTACACCGCAACAGAAAGAAAATAGACTTAAAAGAGCTTAAGATGTGCTTCGCTCGGCCGAAAGTGGTGAGCTGCCGAATATGGATTTCTCCGATAAGAAGACATTCGTTGTACAGCAGTTTGTAAACAAACAAAATGGTCGTGTTTACTTGTCAAAGAGGTCAGCTATAAAAGTGCACCTTCGGTTGGCGAACAGAACTCAATCGCCGGCCATGGTAATAATGTGATCCGCCATAACTGCCGATGCTCGATTTCTGCTCGTATTAATCGATTGTGGCATCAGAATAAATGCGAATATGATCGCGAAAATATTCTGTGGGATGTATTAAAGCCTTGGCACACAAACATTTTGGCCGCAGACCTTGGACATTCCAACAGGACTCAGCACCATGGCACTCAGCACGCGCCACTCAAGAACTGTTACAAAATGAGGTTCCTCTGTTCATTTCTAGTGCACAATGACCACCAAAATCTCCGGATACCAATCGGTTGGACTATTGTGTCTGGAGGA